GGCCGCAGTGCAATTTTAGAAGGAGTCAGGTACAATTTTCAGGCCGGTTCAGGTGCGATTTCCAGTATCGCACACTTTAAAAATTTGCACCCGAACCCCAGAACGAATTTTTGCACAAAACTCTTTTTAACCGTTTCCATATCGGGCACTTTTACCCCCTTCCTGCCCAGGCCATTTTTCAGGTTTCAGCACTCTCACACTTTTGAATGACAATTGCGCGGTCATACAACATTGTACCCAAACTAAAATTTTATCATTTTCTTCACACAACTAGAGCTTTCTTTTGGTGGTATTTAATCACCGCTGGGGTTTTTATTTTTTGCTAAATTAACAAAAAAAGGCCAAAAATTTTGAAAAAAAAAAACACGTTTTTCTTTGTTTCTGTTATAAACGTTTGCAAATAAATAATTTTTCTTCATAAATTTAGGCCAAAATGTATTCTACTACATGTCTTTGGTGAAAATAACCCAAATTAGGATGTGTTATTTAGTTTGTAGCAAAGTTATAGAGTTCACAAACTATGGGATAGATGTGAATATTGATCAGTCCTGAAGTACTGACGGCCAATCTAATTTCTTGAGGTCCAAGAATGTCAGAATAGTAGATATCCCCCCAAAAATGACCCCTTTTGGAAAGTAGACAGTCCGATGTACTTCATAAGAGGCATGGCGAGTTTTTTGAAGTTGTATTTTTTTTTTGTCATAATTTTTCGGAAAATTAAAAAATTTAAATAATTATTTTCACTATTTTTTTTTTTTACATACTGTCACCAGTGCAGTACAGCGTCGTCATATAACTGGCATGGCGGTGATCAGGGACACTGGCTGGTGACAGTAAAAAAAAAAAAATATAGAATTGTTTTTTTTTTTTTTTCATTATTTTTAATTTTTTATTACATTTTTTTCCTTTTATTTACGATTTTTTTCTTCATATTTCACTATGACCAAAGTAGTACAATTTGCATATAGCAAAGAATTAGTTTGCTATAAGCAAGCATTTACCTGAATGACATCGATTCATTCAGGGTTTTTTTTTTTTTTTTGTGCTTAGCTGTGATTTGGCCACAGCTAATCACATGACACAGCTGGGCTGTGATTAGCCCAGCTTGTGCATGTGATTGCTGTGACCAATCACAGCTAAACACACTAGTATACAATGGATGGCATGAATGAAGCCATCCATTGTATACAACTGTCATGTGACCTGCTGTGATTGGTCACAGCAGCTCACATGGTACGGGCAATGGGGCTGGTACTCAGATCTGTCATCGGCCGTCTCCAAGGTACACAGCCGGTGACAGATCACACCACTGCGCGGCTCTGCAGGCGCGCAAACTGCGCATGCCCGGGAGGACGTCATATGAGGTCCACCCGGAATGCTAATGGCTTTTGCCGGCCGCCATTCAGCCATTGGCCGGGCAGCTAATGGTTAAAAATCGTACTGAAACCAGCCCCGCACATATGTGAACCCGGTCTAAAGGTGAACTAACCCCTTAAACGCAGCTGCCGCATACTACAATGTGTCACAGCGCCCTGCAGTGTAAGCCCTGGGTAACACTCATGTAATCTGATGCCTTCCAGAACGCATAGATTGGCATGTGAAGGGAGATAACATGGCTTCTATAGAGGTCGTTCACACCTACACGCTCCAAACGCAATGCAATTTCGAAGGCCTGGTTCACACCTATGCATTTTTCAGTGCGTTTTCAGTTTTTGCAGAAACGCACTGCAGTCCATTTAACATGGTTTCCTATGGGTCATGTTCATATCTGTGCGTTTTTTGAAAAGAGTCAGGGACTTTTTTCCCCCACGGCAGGTTGCATTTTTGGTTCCATAGACTTCTATAGATACGCATGAAAAACGCTTGCGGTTTTGTTGATTTTTTGTTGGTTTCTGCCACATGACAACATACACCTCCCAAAAATGCATCAAAAACTTGTGTTAAAAAAAAATGGGAAAATAATCAGCTGCATCCTGCATATGTGTGAACCCTGCCTAAAAGGGTCCTGTGCGTGTTTGGTGCGATGCAGTGCGTTCTTGAGCCCCATAGACTTGAATGGAAAAAGCAGTGAAAACACATAGGTGTGCAAAGCCATGCGATTTCATTGTGAGATACACCTCTTTCTAATGTCACAAAATTAGCCAGAACAGAAAGCGCAGCAGAATTGCTTCTTAAATCGCACTTGAAAACGCATAGAAATCCCACCACATCAGTGTAACCAGGGCTAAAAAAAAATATATATATTTTCCCTTGTGTTGCGGAAAACGAGCACATCGGATAAGTGCGTTTAACATGCGTCAGTGTGGGCTAATTACAAAGCATGCATCCTCTCTATTTTTCTTCAACTTAAATAAGGGCGTGTGCGTTTAGGTGTGTTCTGGTGCGTTTTTAATGCGTTTTACTGTCGAGTTCAGTGCAGAAAAATGCAGCATGTTTACTTTTTCTTTCTGGAACTGGAGCGCCCTGGAACCGACCTCACTGGTGTGAACGATGCCATTGGAAACCATATAACCTACTATCCATGCGTTTTTGATGCAGAAAAGAATGGACAGCATGTGGTGTGAACTTGGCTCTGACACTAGCTTGACACCTATGCAGGTTGCGATTGCTGCTTTTTTCCCTCCATGGTTTGCGCTTTTCACATGGGTTTATAATGCAGTTTGCTTTTTTTGGGATGTGGTAATGTTGCTGGGGGGAGGTGTCTGCTGTCATGCAGGAAACTCGGCAAAAACACGCGTACATTGCTTTTGCTTGCGTTTTTGATGCGTTTCCTTTGAAGTCTATAGAACCACAAACACAACCTGCTGGGGGCAAAAAAAGTCCCTGACCCTTTCCAAACAACGCAGCCACTTGAAAATGCACATAGGTGACCCAGACCCATAAGGAATCATTGTAAATGGACTGCAGTGTGTTTCTGAAAAACGGAAAGCGCGTTGGAAACGGCGTCGATGTGAACCTAGCCTCAAGATGATCTGCACAAATCTCGGCACACTTTCAGTCTCCACCCCCCTTCATCTATGTCCAAGCATTACTGATAGCAATATGTGATGACACCAGGGGGCAATGTTGGGTTGGGGGGCCGTGTTTTTTCTTTTCGGCCCCGTGTTTGGCGGCCTCTCACCCTTCCTCTCTCCATAGATGGGCCCAGGGGCGGACTGACAACTCATGGGGCCCCCGGGCAATAGGGGATCATGAGGCCCCTGTGCCCTTGCCCACACTCAAAGCACACTTAAAAAAGCCTATAAAAGGTACCAGGGGCATTTAATGGGGCCCCCTACTGACCCCGGGCCCTTGGGCAGGGCCCGAGTGCTCTAATGGTCAGTCTACCCCTGGATGGGCCGGTTTTCTGGCAGTCTATGAGTGTGAGACACTGCGAGCCAGCAATTAGGGGGGTGTTCAATGGCATTTTCCTGTTCTGTTTGGAGAGGGGGGTTCCCTGTGATTTCTCTCTTTGCCCCTGCATGGCTTCCATCAGTCCAGGAGGAATAGTATCTTAGAATTGACCTTTCATCTCATCTTGCGATGTAACAGGAGCAAAATCTCCCCCCGCCGGGGTCCGATCTAATACTACAAAGGGGCATGTGCAGTTGCTGAAACCTGGGATTGAACCAGGGACCACTAGACCTTCAGTCTAACGTTCTCCCAACTGAGATATTTCAGCTTCTTGATGCCCCAAAGGATTTGTAAGTAGGATCATAATGATGATACCCAGCAGCAGGTACAAGTGGTTTACAACCACTTTAACTATGTCTATTGGGACGCAGCGTCTGCATGGACACAGCCGCGGTTCCCAATTTTGACATTCATGCAGGGGAAAGGGAATCAAACCCAACCCCAAACGCACCTGCACCAACCCGGATATCAAATTATGAGCAATGGCTGTGTCTGTGCAGCCACTGAGTCCCAATAGACATGAATGGCACTGTGTGGGATGCACAGGTATTTCTTGCATCCGTGTAAGGCAGTGGCATTCATTTCTTATGGGTTTTCTTGTGTTGTTTTGGGGTTTTTTTATTTCTTGTGTGTTTAATAGTTTTGGATAATCCCTGTGGCTGCAGCGTCCGACTCTTGTTCGATGATGGTAGTTGTCCTTGGTTGTTTAGTTTCCGTAGTGGCCCATGTCTGCTTGATGTCCATGGTTGCTTGGTTTGGGTTGTTGTCCACGGTTGCTTGGTTTGGGTTGTCCATGCAGCCGCTGCTTCCCAACAGACATGAATGACACTGTGTGGGATGCACAGGTGTTTTGTGCATCTGCGTAAGGCAGTGCCATTCATTTCCTATTTTTGTTTTTCTGTTTTTTGTTCTTTTGTTGCTTCTTTGTGTTGTTTTGTGGTTTTTTGGTTTCTTGCCTGTTTAATGGTTTGGATAAGTCCTGCACAGGCTGCAGCTTCTGACTCTTGCTCGATGTTGTTTTGGGTTTTTGTCCATGGTTGTTTGGTTTCATTGTTGTTGTCCATGGATACTTGGTTTTGGTTGTCCACGGTTACTTGGTTTTGGTTGTCCATGGTTGCTTGGTTTGGGTTGTTGCCCATGGTTGCTTGGTTTGGGTTGTTGTCAGTGGCGTCCCTAGGTGGGTGCAAGCTGCACCCACTCATTTTTTTGAGACAGATAGAGCTTTCTTTTGGTGGTATTTAATCACCTCTGGGATTTTTATTTTTTCCTAAAAAAACTAAAAACCACTGAAAATTTTGAAAAAAAATGTTTTTTCTTAGTTTTTGTTATACAATTTTGTAAATAAGTGATTTTTCTCCTTCACTGATGTGCGCTAATGAGGCTGCAGTGATGGGCACTGATAGGCTACACTGATAGGTGGCACTGATGGGCACTGATGAGGAGGCACTGGTAGGTTGCACTGATGGGCATTGACAGGCATCACTGATGAGTACTGAAAGGCAGCACTGATACATGACACTGATACATGGCACTGATAGGCGGCGCTGATAGGCAGCACTGACTGGCACTGATAGGTGGCACTGACTGGCACTGAGGCGGCAGGCGGCACTGACTGGCACTGATAGGCGACACTGACTGGCACTAATAGGCGGCACTGATTGGCAGCACTGATAGGTGGCACTGATTGGCATTGATAGGTGGCACTGACTGGCACTGATGGGTGACATTGAAAGGCAGATCAGATAGGCACTGATATGTGGCATTGATGTGCACTGGTATGCACTGATATGTGGCATTGATGTGGAACTGATGTGCACTGGCACTGATGGGCATTGGCACTGATGAGCACTGACAGGTGGCACTTCTGGGGCCACATTGATCATCAGTGCCCTGATGATCAGTGTACATGTCCCCTCCGCCGAAAGCAGATTACCGGCTCTCCTCTCCTCTCGAGCTGTCAGCGTGACAGCTCGAGAGGAGAGAAATGCCGATAACCGGCATTTCCGTGTTTACATGTGATCAGTGGTGATTGGACACAGCTGATCACATGACCGAGCCAACATCTTCGGCTCTTTCCGTGATCCGCTGTGTTCGAGGGACACAGCGGACCGGTGATCGCCGCGCTGCGCGCTCCCTGAGCCGCGCATGCGCAGTGAGAATGGTAGGACGTCATATGACGTCCTATCAGAACGAGAGAACCACCTTGCGCCCGTCATTGTACTATAGGGCGGGCGGAAGGTGGTTAATGGTTTGGATAAGTCCTGCACAGACTGCAGCTTCCGACTCTTGCTCGATGTTGGTTTTGGTTGTTGTCCATGGTTGTTTGGTTTCGGTTGTTGTCCATGGTTACTTGGTTTTGGTTGTCCACGGTTACTTGGTTTTGGTTGTCCATGGTTTGGTTTCGGTTGTTGTCCATGGTTACTTGGTTTTGGTTGTCCACGGTTGCTTGGTTTTGGTTGTCCATGGTTGCTTGGTTTGGGTTGTTGTCCATGGTTGCTTGGTTTGGGTTGTTGTCAGTGGCGTCCCTAGGTGGGTGCAAGCCACACCAGGTGACACCAATCGCACAGTGTGACACCCAGGGGCATATCTGCCCCCAGGCAGAAGGGACAAGGGACCAGGGCTTGGCAGGTCAGGAGAGCTTGTCATAGCTCGGGTGGGAGGCAGGGTTTAGGCAGGGGGCGGGCTCAGCAAGTCTTGAGCAGGGAAGGTGGGCTCAACTTATGCCATCCTGAGTTAATGGCAAGTCGGCTGTCTTACCCTCTCTGTGCTTCCCGGAGCGCTGATTCCCTGCTGCACCCACTGACATCGATAGGATCTAGCACAGCAATGGGCAAACTAAATTGACACAGGGGGGACTTGGGGACTTAATATGGGGGATTGAATTAATATGGGGGAATGAATTACTATATGGGGGATGAATTACTATGGGGGATGAATTACTATATGGGGATGAATTACTATATGGGGGATGTATTACTATATGGGGGATGAATTACTACTATATGGGGATGAATTACTATGGGGGATGAATTACTATGGGGGATGAATTACTATGGGGGATGAATTACTATATGGGGGATGAATTACTTATATGGGGGATGAATTACTATGGGGGGATGTATTACTATATGGGGGATGAATTACTATGGGGGATGAATTACTATATGGGGGATGAATTACTATGGGGGATGAATTACTATGGGGGATGAATTACTATGGGGGGATGAATTACTATGGGGATGAATTACTATATGGGGATGAATTACTATATGGGGGATGAATTTACTATATGGGGGATGAATTACTATGGGGGATGAATTACTATATGGGGGATGAATTACTATATGGGGGATGAATTACTATGGGGGATGAATTACTATGGGGGATGAATTACTATGGGGGATGTATTACTATATGGGGGATGAATTACTATATGGGGGATGAATTTACTATATGGGGGGATGAATTACTATGGGGGATGAATTTCTATGGGGGATGAATTACTATATGGGGGATGAATTACTATGGGGGATGAATATAATACTATATGGGGGATGAATTACTATGGGGGATGAATTACTATATGGGGGATGAATTACTATATGGGGGATGAATTACTATGGGGGATGAATTACTATATGGGGGATGAATTACTATATGGGGGATGAATTACTATGGGGGATGAATTAACTATATGGGGGATGAATTACTATATGGGGGATGAAATTACTATGGGGGATGGAATTACTATATGGGGGATGAATTACTATATGGGGGGATGAATTACTATGGGGGATGAATTACTATATGGGGGATGAATTACTATATGGGGGATGAATTACTATGGGGGGATGAATTACTATATGGGGGATGAATTACTATATGGGGGGATGAATTACTACTATTGGGGGATGAATTTTCTATGGGGGATGAATTACTACTATGGGGATGAATTACTATAGGGGGATGAATTACACTTAGGGGGGAATGAATTACAGACTGCTGGAACATACTATTGACTGAATGATCGACTTTGGGGATGAAAAATTAATATATGGGGGGATGAAATACTATGGGGGATGAAGTTTACTATAAAGGGGGATGAGATACATAATTTACTTACTTATGGGGATGAATTATATATGGGGGATGAATTACTAATGGGGGATGAATTCTATATGGGGGGATGAATTACTATGGGGGATGAATTTTATATGTGCTGGGGGATGAATTTACTATGGGGGATGAATTACTATATGGGGGATTAATTACAATAGTGATGCTTATCTATCTGGGGAATATTACTCTACTCGACTATGGAATGCAGCAATACACAGTAATTCATCTACTGTTGGTCTCTGGCCCCGCTGGTCCAATTTACCTGAACGGGGAAGGCACCCTTAGAAAGGGAGAGATTGAAGATGTGAGTGAGGGAGCATATGACAGAAGAAGAGGGTGACCATAGTAGTTGAAAGGGGACAGGATCCAGGGGGCAGGTTAGTTTTAGTGAGATGGGCTTCTGAGAAAACCTTAGTGACCTCTTCAGTAGTAGCAAGTTCAAAAAAGAAGAAAGTGTTGAGGGAGGTTTAGTATAAGGTATGCTAAGTGGGATAGATGTATGTGCAGTGGCGATGCCCCTACAACTTGCATCAATCTTGTTTTGAAATGATTTGCAATCTCATAAGCAGTGAGTGAGGTACTGGGTGGAGGTGGAGAAAGTAGAGAGTTAAAAGTAGAGAAGAGACGTCGAGGACTGGATGACAAGCTATTAATAAGAGTGACAAAGTAGGCTTGTTTGGCAGCATGGAGGGAGGAATTGTATGTTAAGAAAGCAGATTTTATATATATTGTGGTTTTACACCACAATCACTCCAGTGCACAGCTATGTCTCTTAAGATTTTTGGTGTGGTCAGTCTGCCACAGTTGTAATGATCGGGGCCTGATACTTCATGTAGTTAGAGGAGCAAGTGAGTCTAGTGTGGATGAAAGCGAACTGTTGTAGACAGCAGTGGCCAGGACAGGGGGAAGATTCTGTTATAAAGGCAGTCAGTTGCAGAGTGGAAAAGAGACGGGTTCAAGTTGTGAAGGCTTCTGCAGGTACTTGTTTGCTGCTTGAAGGGATAGGTGTTTGAAGATGAGGACACTGTGAAGGTAATGAGATTGTGATCACAGAGTGTTTGTGAGGTGGTAGGGAGTGCAAAGATGGGAGAAAACAAGGTCTAATGTATTCCCATCAGAGTTAGTGGAGGACTGTGTCCATTGTGTAAAGGCAAAAGATGAGGTTAGGTTACCATCACCTACCATCACATACCACCTGCTCCACTGCCCATTTAAGAGAGGACACAGGTTGTGTAGACATTGGCTTTGAGGAAGAGGTACAACCTCGAAACGCATCAGCCATCAGCTATCCAGAGGTCTACAGTCCCCTGCCAGACCACCTTCAGGGGTCTTGGACCACACTGCATCTTTTGAGACATGATTTCCATTTGATTTTATTTCTCTTGTAAGTATTTTACTTTTTATCAATAAATCTCATTTTTAAAGGTAATACACTAGGCCTGTGCACCCTCTTTTTGTCTTTTCATATACAGTTCTCTTTGGATTCCCCTGGTCCATTGAGGGCAGCAAGGCTTGCATTCCTTTCATACACATGTGGGGATATTGACATTATGGAGTCTATTGTCCAGCACAGGAGCTCAGGCATTCGGTTGCTTTTTTCTTCCTACCATTATTTTACCTTTGTTCAAGCTGTCTGATGTTAATAGATTCACAGCTTTACTTAAAGGGTCACTCCACTTTCGTGGGAAAAAATAGAAAATAAAACAATAATAATATAGGGACCACAATTGCTACATAAGTCACATTGTTTTTACATTTTAAAATGTTATTAAAAATTATCTTTGCTTTTCAATTTGCAACATTGTATTTTTCTGTAAAATGCAATGCAATATGGCTGCTGGATGTATTCTATACACAGAAGGTGTACAGAGCTCCCCCAGAAACATAATTTCCTGTTGTTTGATTGGCTCACTGATTTTCCAGAAGTCTGCACTAAGATCAATGTCAGATTTCAGGCATCTTCTGCAACAAAAATGTCATTTTTTGGTGAGACACGCTCAAAGGGCAATCCCATTGAAAGAGATGCAGACCCTGACCATTTCCTCAACAGAGCCGTGCAGATGCAGAAACTGATTGATAATTATGAAATCACCCCCATATAGATTCACTCTGCGCATGGACACAGACAAACAAACAGCTCCTTATTCGGAATAACAAAAAGGTAGGAATCTGCAAATGTTTGTTAAAATCCTTGCAATGTACAGAGATAACTCAGAGGAGAATGTTTTTTTCTCAACAAAAGTGGAGTAACTCTTTAATGTGGTGCTGTCTAATTAATATGGTGTTGTCTAATATTTTACTAGGGGTCTGTCAGAGTGGCTAATGCAGTAACATTGGGCGTATTTGTTGCAGATTAACCTCAGAGAATGTATTTATTCACCAGCTCATTCTGGGGTGCACTACATGTATACAACGGACGTATACCTAATGCTACAGTATGACATCTTTATGTCTTTCTGTAATCATTCATAATTCCATTGAAAGTTTAGCAAAATCAAACTGTACACCCTTGAAATTGAGTTTTAACATGAGAACCTTTTTCTCTCTCAGACATGAAAAGGTGTTATAAGTGTCTGGAGGATCAATGGCCCAATGACAATAGAGATGTCTGTATACAAAGAACAGCTGAATTCCTGTCCTACGGAGATACATTGGGCTTTTCTCTTATGTTTATGGTTCTGATGTTCTGTTTTGGGACTATTATCAAGTTTAAGATATTTGTTACCACTTCAGGTCTGGACACTTTCACCCCCTTCCAGTCCAGTCAGCGCTGTCACATTTTGAGTGACAATTACTCAGTCATCCCACACTGTACCCATATGAAATTTGTATCATTTTTAAGACAGATAGAACTTTTTTTTGGTGGTATTTAATCACCACTGGGTTTTTTTATTTTTTGCTATATAAATGGAAAATTACCCCAAATTTTGCGAAACAAAATGTTTTTGCTTAGTTTTTGTTCTAACATTTTGCACATAATTTTTTTTCTTGAACTTAGGCCAAGATGTATTCTGCTACCTTTCTGGTGTAAAAATAACCCAAACAGTGCTTATTATTTAGTCTGTGTGAAAGGTATGGAGTCTACAAACTATGGGATATATATTTGAAAACTGACCAGTTGAGGCCCTGAAATGCTGGATGCTCTTGTGATATATGGAATACCCCATACAAGGACACTGCAGTGATCAGGACATTGGTATGAGGTATGGCAGTGATCTGAACACTGGTATGGTGGTGATCAGGATGCTGGTATGGCATATGATGGCGATCAGGATGCTGGTATGGAGTATGATGGTGATCAGGATGCTGGTATGGGGTATGACGGTGATCAGGATGCTGGTATGGGGTATGGCGGTGATCAGGATGCTGGTATGGAGTATGATGGTGATCAGGATGCTGGTATGGAGTATGATGGTGATCAGGATGCTGGTATGGAGTATGATGGTGAACAAGACGCTGGTATGGAGTATGATGGTGATCAGGATGCTGGTATGGAGTATGATGGTGAACAGGATGCTGGTATGGAGTATGATGGTGAACAGGACGCAGGTATGGAGTATGATGGTGAACAGGATGCTGGTATGGAGTATGATGGGGATCAGGACGCTGGTATGGAGTATGATGGTGATCAGGACGCTGGTATGGAGTATGATGGTGATCAGGATGCTGGCATGGCGTATGATGGCGATCAGGATGCTGGTATGGGGTATGACGGTGATCAGGATGCTGGTATGGGGTATGACGGTGATCAGGATGCTGGTATGGGGTATGGCAGTGATCAGGATGCTGGTATGGAGTATGATGGTGATCAGGATGCTGGTATGGGGTATGATGGTGATCAGGATGCTGGTATGGGGTATGACGGTGATCAGGATGCTGGTATGGGGTATGGCAGTGATCAGGATGCTGGTATGGGGTATGATGGTGATCAGGATGCTGGTATGGAGTATGATGGTGATCAGGATGCTGGTATGGAGTATGATGGTGATCAGGATGCTGGTATGGAGTATGATGGTGATCAGGATGCTGGTATGGAGTATGATGGTGATCAGGATGCTGGTATGGAGTATGATGGTGATCAGGATGCTGGTATGGAGTATGACGGTGATCAGGATGCTGGTATGGGGTATGACGGTGATCATGATGCTGGTATGGGGTATGGCGGTGATCAGGATGCTGGTATGGGGTATGACGGTGATCAGGATGCTGGTATGGGGTATGGCGGTGATCAGGATGCTGGTATGGAGTATGATGGTAATCAGGATGCTGGTATGGAGTATGATGGTGATCAGGATGCTGGTATGGAGTATGATGGTGATCAGGATGCTGGTATGGAGTATGATGGTGATCAGGATGCTGGTATGGAGTATGATGGTGATCAGGATGCTGGTATGGAGTATGACGGTGATCAGGATGCTGGTATGGGGTATGACGGTGATCATGATGCTGGTATGGGGTATGGCGGTGATCAGGATGCTGGTATGGGGTATGACGGCGAACAGGATGCTGGTATGGGGTATGGCGGTGATCAGGATGCTGGTATGGGGTATGACGGTGAACAGGATGCTGGTATGGGGTATGGCGGTGATCAGGATGCTGGTATGGAGTATGGCGGTGATCAGGATGCTGGTATGGAGTATGATGGTGATCAGGATGCTGGTATGGAGTATGATGGTGATCAGGATGCTGGTATGGAGTATGATGGTGATCAGGATGCTGGTATGGAGTATGATGGTGATCAGGATGCTGGTATGGGGTATGATGGTGAACAGGACGCTGGTATGGAGTATGGTGATGATCAGGACGACAGTATGGGGTACAGCGGTGATCAGGATGCTGGTATAGGGTATGGAGGTGCTCAGGATGCTCTCGTGGAAGAGAAAACCTTTGTTGTGGACTTGTACATTAATGTCAGGAAGTTGTCCTCAGTTTGCAGTTCCTTGGGCATCCCGTGCATCCCTCAACCCCTTCCAAGTTCAATACCCCTTAATAAAACGTTAAAAAACAAGTTCAAGAACTGTTTACTGTCTCTGGAGTGCAAGCCTGCCAGAAGATGTGTGTTACCTGGCTGTGCAGGACTATAGGGGGACCCAAATCTTCAACAACTCCCATGGTAGTAGTGCTACATATGTATGTTTAGGGTGTTTGTATAACATTTTTCCATGCAATATGGATGATCTTACTGCCATTTTGCTACATGGCTATGAAGGAATTTTGTTATTGTATATTATCTTCAGCTGTGATAACTTTGCTTGTGACCTTTCCCCAGTGACTCTGATAAATGCTGTTTGTACAGTCCTCCCATGGCAGACATATATTTCTATTTGGCAAGTCCCCTGTGATACTGATTACAGCGTGGGTTATGTTTCACCTATGATGTGATTGATTTTACTTTTCCCATGAGAAAGCCATGAAAAACATATTGTTTCTCTGTGACATCTCTGCAAATAGACCATGCATTGGCTGAGGCAACAGTAAAGGCTTCTTGTGGCATTGTTTATTGATATTACTGACAGCAACTGTGAAACCCATCTATACAACATGCTAGTCAAAGTTTTATGTTATTTAAACAGAAATAAAATTGGTTTTATTGATATATTTATCATTGTTTTGCCTAAGAATTCACACATTTTGACCAAAATTCATTTTTCCTTATTAAATTTATTACAGTGATTGTTGCCCATTTTCAAACAAGATTTGGCCAATAAAAAATAAACCATGTGGTGACTCAATACCACCAAAAGAAAGCTCTATATATGTGAAAAAAATGGTATAAATTTAATTGGGTACGTGCAATTGCCACTCATCGTAGTACAGTGTTGAAATACAAAAAAATGGCCTGGTCATGAAGGAGGTAAAATCTGCTGGAGCTCAAATGGTTAAGCTTTGACAACAAAAAGCTGGAAGCCGATATTTCTATGTAAAACTGCACCAGATTTCACACTCTCCAGTTTTAGTAAACCATCTCAAAGTTTTCACCTAAACAGGTAACTAACCCTGATTCTCATGTGTGGATTCTGATCTTCACACACCTATCTTTCCTGATCACTAGAATTATACATTTTCTTTTCAAGGTTATGCGTAGATTAGTATGGATATCACATCCATAGAATGACGTTTGGTTATGAATTACAAGTTTTCCTTCTCATTCCTTTGCTCTGCTGTTCTTGTTTGTCTCTTGTTGTTACAAGGTATCCTCACCACTGCTTACCTGTTTTATAAGGGTGTTCTTATCACTTCTCCCTTTCTCTTTTATTTATTGGATATTATTACTCTTCTTTTTCTTTACAAACGATTTTATTTTTCAAGAAATAGACTGTAAAATGATATTACAGCTTCAAATGGTGAGTAAAACAGTAACAAGGCATAACTGAAGTGTACATTTCAAAGAGGCGCAATCATATAGAGTAAAGAAAAAGTTAAGAGATGAAGAGAGAATAGAGTTTAAGTACATGATCAATATAAATAAAGAGGTAGGCAGAGTTATACATCTACCAACAGAGTAAGTCAATCAACCCAAATAAGGAATGTCCTTAGTCATGTAGTAAATGTCTATGAGTTTTCCAAACTTCCCATTGTTTATCAAATAAGTGCATCCTGTCCAATAAAGTATAATGAATTCTTTCCATGAGCATCACAACATCAACTCTATGTAGAACAGAGGCCAATGGTACTGTGATAGATTTCCAGTGTAGGGCGGTGGCCCATAGGGTGGATATGCAAATAGTATAGATTAGATGGCTGTTTGATCCAAGAGCTTCTGAATGTGAAGTCTATAATTTGCTGAAAAGAAGTCCTTCCCTGCTCCCAGCATGGTGAAACCGGATTGGAGGTCATCCGCCTCTTGGGCACCTCGAGAATTGGGCACCCAGCTCAGCGGTAATTGGGTATGGTAAAGATGAAACCCACACTTAAAGCTGTCCAGCAGTGTCCTTCCCTGTGGCCTGTTGAAGAAAACCTATTAGCAATCGCTAATGATATAAAAAAGAGAGTTATGAGGGACATTAGAGCAGGCTTACTGAGCATCAGGTGCTTCCTTTGTGGGTTTGGTGTAGAAGTTGGAAGCAAAAACAAATTCACTGTCATCCAGGGAGCAGTACAGCTTCCTTGCACATGGCCACACTCTAGAGAGGAATAGGACCTAGGATCAAGAGAAATTGTGGCACAGAGCAAAATCAAGCAAGCGGTTGTGTGGTAGAAAGACTGTAAAAGAGGCTAGACCAGCAATGGGCAAACTACGGCCCGGCGGACCTTTTAATCCGGCCCGTGGATGTGGCTGTCAGGATGTGTGTAGGCGGGGCAGCGTGACGAACGTGAGGGGAGGTGAGCTAGGCTCCTCTCACAGTCCGCCCTGAAGACCGGAACGGCGCAGGAACACGGCGAGAGGAACGCGCGGAGCAAAGGTAAGTGAATTGACACAGGGGGGAGTTGGCTTACTACTTGGGGGGGAATAGTACTGTGGTGGATGAAATACTATACGAGGGATGAATTAATATGGGGGAGGAACTAATATGGGGAATGAATTACTATAGGGGGGATGAATTACTATAGGGGGGATGAATTACTATATGGGGGATGAATTACTATATGGGGGATGAATTACTATGGGGGATGAATTACTATATGGGGGATGAATTACTATGGGGGATGAATTACTATATGGGGGATGAATTACTATGGGGGATGAATTACTATATGGGGGATGAATTACTATATGGGAGATGAATTACTATGGGGGATGAATTACTATATGGGGGATGAATTACTATATGGGGGATGAATTACTATGGGAGATGAATTACTATGGGGAATGAATTACTATATGGGGGATGAATTACTATGGGGGGTGAATTACTATATATGGGATGAATTATTATGGGGGATGAATTATTATGGGGGATGAATTACTATATGGGGGATGAATTACTATGGGGGATGAATTACTATATGGGGGATGAATTACTATGGGGGATGAATTACTATATGGGGGATGAATTACTATGGGGGATGAATTACTATGGGGGGTGAATTACTATAGGGGGGATGAATTACTATAGGGGGGATTAATTACTATAGGGGGGATGAATTACTAGGGGGATGAATTACTATGGGGGATGAATTACTATATGGGGGATTAATTACTATGCTTACTATGGGGGAATATTACTATACTTACTATGGATGACACATACACATCATTCATCTACTCTTGGTCCGCCCCCAGGTCCAATATATGAACCCATTGCGGCCCTCAAGTCAAAACGTTTGCCCACCCCTGGGCTAGACACATCTCCAGGTCATACAAACAAACAACAAAAGGTGTTAAGCCCAAAAAGTTACCAGAAGCCTGTAGCTGAAAAGCTACTTGGTGTAATGATCATTATCAGTTAAACCTCAGATCTGTC